CGGACCCTTGAGGGACACCACTCGTCACCGGTCTCCATCCAGACATCGAGCCATTGACCACTACCCTCTGGACGCGACCATCCAGCCAGTTCCTTATCCACCGAACAGTCCACCCATCAAATCCATAGCTCTCCAATTTAGAGAGCTTTTTTTTCTGAGTGGTTTCCTCTCTTGGGGATTATGATCTTTTAGTCTTTATCTGTAACGCAAGCACTTGTTTTGAAAGCAAAACAAAGCAAAAACCCGAAGCCCAGAAGAGCTCGGCTCTGTCCCCCTCTACTTGTGATGCAGGTGGTAAGTCCAGCAGAACTTCTGGAATTGGAGAAGTAAGAGGAATTTGTGATGAACAAACAAATAGTTGTTGCTCTTCCTCCCACCCCCCCCCCCCCCCAAAAAAAAAAAACCCCAAAGTACTTGCAGTAATAACAATAGATATTTTGCACCAGGAATTGTTAAATGATACTAAATTCCATCCATTAGAGCTGGAAGCCCTGAGCATCTGCGGTTGTGATTGGGTGCCTGAGTAGAGGACCTCGCCAGGACCTGTCATGAAGGGACGTTTCTGTTAAAAAAAACACAGTGTTTGTGGCAGGGTGAGCTGTGTTCCTTAGCTGGGCTATAGAGATGGAGAAAGAAGCCTACAAAGTTCCTGTGGTCTCTGGCTGAGCCTCTGCCTACCGCCTCGCTGTGGCTGACATAATGGCACCGGGTGTGGGAGGGGATATGATAATATTGGCTTAAGGGCTGTGGTTGGGGGGGAGGGGGGGGGAATTCACTAAATTTGGATTTATTTTGCCAAACCAGTGCTTTCTAATTTCCAAAACCATTCCTGCCAAAAAACTGTTGCCCTGATATTTACTGGCTGCAGATCGTGTATGCCATGAAGACAGAGATAGTATTAAAGAAGTTAATTCTGTTAACATCTGGGAAAAAACCCACATCCCAGTGCATATCTCTGTGACATTTGCTTCCTCGATGTCTTCTCAGGTCTAGACGGCTCCATTTCAGTCCTTTACTACTTTCAGAGTCTCTTCAGTGTTTGTTTACCCTTTTATCATGCCCTCATCTCAGGAAATCACAACCCTTAAGTCAGAGAAAAAGCGTTTTGTTGAGGAACCGTTCATTCCAAGTGCTAAATACCAAATTGGCTCACAAGATGGCCTTGTGCCATGGCCTATAGCGATCAACAGAGAACTGATCTCAACAGACACGTGTAATGACCATGTCCTGGATTTATCTTTTGGAAGGCACAATATGGGGAGAGAATTGAGGTCCTTGACAACTAATGCTTTGTATTTGCTTGTGTGTAACTTAAGTATTTAACAGTACCAAAATA